TGGCGTGGATAAGTTTGCACGTGAAACGTGGTGGTTAAAATTTCACAATCTCTAACATCAAAAGCAGCACAGTTGTTTCTGATTGACCTCTTGGTGGCCAGCTGTTACAGTTGACAGGCCATGCAGATACCCCGTCAGCAAGGTAGATTTCTTGTTCCTGTAACTGTCCAGAACATGTGGTTTCTTGGCAGATCCTGGAGTTCATGCATACAGCATTTGTTTTGATGGCTCTTCTTCTGGGGCCCCCTCTCCTCCTGCTTCCTTTAGGAGGAACTAAGAACATTCTGGCTCTCACACAAGAATTTACTGAAATTGGAAGCTGCAGATCCAGTGGTTAGAGTCTAATTCCACTGTGTTGATACTTGAAAGCTGTGGAAGAAGAAAGAAAAATGAAAGCCTGAAGCAGCAGATTACCTGGCTAGGGCTTCTAGGAGTGACCTGTGTTTTTTGGTTGTCTCAAAATTTTACTTGGTTTCTTTCTTAACTTTCAATAACATAGAGAAGGCTCAGCTTCAAAAAGTGTGGGACTTCACTGTATGAAACCAGGCATTTTCCTCTTGGGTCAGTTTGAGGTATCCAGTTCCCCAAGCTGATTCTTTTTCTTTATATTTTGCTCAATACCTTGGTTGTCCTATTTGCATAAGTCAAGGGAAAGAACACAGGATAGAGGGGTGGGTGTGGGTATCTAAGATGCTTGATTAAAAAGAGTAGACATGCAAGCGTTAAGCATTCTGTAAAAGGTTGGGAGTTCCATCTGACTCCTAGAAGTCATTCTGAAATCTGGAAATGTAACTGTTGAAATAATAACTTCAAACCTGGTCTCCACAACAAGTGTATGATTTGATTATGCTATCTTATGAAAAGCCTTCAGCTACTAGATACAATGAAATTATATTGATGACTATATACTTCTGTTAACCTGACACTTGTCAAGTGAGATTACTGCAATATGGAGCAGCTGGCATATGCATGATGCATCAGTGACTCCAGATAGTGGAAAATTCCCTTAATTTATTTGTGGATTTTTTCTTTTGTTTAGGTATTGTTAGAAGCACAGAAAGAATTGGTGGACTACAAAGGACTTGGTATAAGTGTTCTTGGTAAGACTTTAAAAATTCTGTATTTTTCATAACATAGATGTTTAACCAAGTTGTTTAATAAGAGTTTTTGATCTTGATATTTCAGCCTCTTTTCTAATACCTTACTATGGTAACATTTATATCCAGAGAATACTTTTTCATACTCCTTTTCTACCATTTATCAGGAGACCATAAAATGATACATAGCTAGATGTTTAGTGATCCAAAACAAAGGACTAGAGACAAAGAAGATAACTAGTTATATGTAAAACATCAGCATTTTTTGATCTTTGGGCAGGGATGTGTGTGTAGGTATTGTATATATATAGGCAGTATATAAAATACTATATATGTATATAGATACTATACACAAATATACATGTAGTATATATGTGTGTGTATATATATGTATATAGATACCATATATAGTATCTTATATACTATGTGGCAAAATGCTTCAGATGTATTTGATGTATAACATCTTTCCTATTAGGAAGGCAATGCTGTCCTGTCATGAGGAGGAGGTGTCTTGTGTGCCATATGGGTAGCTGACTGGCTTCTCAGCCCCGGTTGCACAAAATTTATGTTCAAGATGGTTAAGATGGTTAGCATTTTACTAGTCCTGTGAAACTGCTTGCTGGAAGTAGAATGTGCAGCAGTCTCTGCAGGACTGGGATTCATGTTTAAATTGTACAGTCTTACAGATGGAAGAAAGCATATGTATTTAATAAAAGGAATTGTATTAAGTGTCCTTAACATTTAATTAGGATTACTGTATGGAGAAACCTTGTTAAAAATAAAAGAACAAAACAAACCGCTGTACATTACTCTATACTTACTACAGCATTAGTAGCAGAGAAGGTTCTTAGAGTGAGGAAAATTTACACCTTTCTAGGGAGTATTTTTTCACACAGAGGTAGTTGTTCCTGGAGGTAGTTAGGTCATGTGGATGCCAAATGTGAATAGACTGGATTTGACTGGATCTGGACAAGGATGATGGTGTAAGTCTTGTGTGGATATTTAGGAAGGCTCAGAAAAAAAAAGGAGTTGGAACTGAGAATAGGAGCCTTCAGGCTTTTTGTACCTGTAGTGTGAAAGGTTTAAAGCTGAATGGAGTTTTTAAATCACATTCATGTATTTACCATTTTGGTTTGTGTTGTTTCTTCTTTCCTTTCCACCAAAGAAATGAGCCATCGGACCTCAGATTTCACAAAAATTTTAAATACAGCTGAAAATCTCATGCGTGAATTACTGTAAGTGAATTATTTCCTGCTTATTTTTATTTTATGCTTCTTCTAGTTGCACCAGTAATGACTAATGTGGAGACCTTTCCTTGAAAACACCTGATGTTTGTTTTTTGTTTAGATACTGTGTCTGACAGTGGAATAATCTTGGAGAGGACGTTGGTCTTCTGTTTGTTGCTGATTTATTTGAATGTGACAAAGAGCTTTTATTATGTTAAGATGCTTTTTATATGTCTACTATATACTGACTAGTTGACTGTCTTCTGAGATTTTAATTTTTGTCACCTTCATAGAATTCATGAAGAGCATGAACTTTCTTCGAGAGGTAACTGGAAACAATAGAAATCAGTTCTCTAGTAGCATAGAGGTGATCTGTACATTACTTATCAGTCTGATTTTACTAACATAAGCTCTTTCGATATGTTTTACAATCACTGATCAGGAGCCCTTTTCCTATTTGTGGAGTGACACATTTTTAAAAGTTTGGAATAAATATGTTGTGTATTAGAATTAATGTTATCATAGTAGTTAACAATGTTGGACATTTTGTGTAAAAGCTTGACTCAGTCACAGCCAGAATTATTAACAGAGGGGTTTTAATGAGTAATTTGAACAAGTAATTTTTGTGACTGTATGAAGAAGTCCTTATGGCACTTGCTCTGCATGTACGATTTACTGTGCAGTTGCACTTTCAAATTGAAAGGTCACAAAACTGAATTCTGCTGTGAGCACTTGGTGTGAAGTTCTTAGCCTGACAGAAAAGCTGTGAAGCTAGCAATAGACAAATTTATGAGTGAGCATTAATTCTGCTGCAATATCATTCAAGTTTGTGTATATTATGATAGTAGAGCTAATCAGGAATGAATTTGTTTAATGCTATCCATGGGGAGGAAAAAAGCTTGTTTTCAGCAAATTTTTATCAGTAAAAAGTATAGCATTACCCTTAATACTTAAGTTGTTACTCAGGATGAGTGCTGAGGTAAGTTAATGGGATTTGGTCTAAACTCTTGTCGAAGACTCTTTTAAAATGATAGTGTTTTTCCTCAGTTGTTTTTAAATGCATAATATCAAGTATTATGCATCCTGTTTCTTCTGGGAATAATATAAATGGTTATTTCTTGCATGCAGAAACATACCGCAAAACTACAAAGTAATTTTCCTCCAAGGAGGTGGATCTGGTCAGTTCAGTGCAGTCCCGCTTAATCTCATCGGTTTAAAGGAGGGAAGACATGCAGATTATGTGGTTACTGGAGCTTGGTCAGCAAAAGCAGCTAAAGAAGCAGAGAAGTATGCCAAAGTGAATATCGTTCATCCAAAACTAGGAACCTATACAAGTAAGTTGATGATTACATCCATCCATGTGAATGCTTAGCTTTTTGAATTGCTCTAAAAGTTGGTCTAACTCAGCTACTGGATTATTGAATGTTAACTAGTTAGAGTTGATTGCCCAGCACTCAAAATATTGCCTGCCACATCTCTTCATGTTCATCACTGGGAGACCTGTTAGATGGCTTAACAGTCTCTACCAGAAAAAAAATTGTGAAACTAGGCTGAGCAGATCTCAGAAAATAAGTGACAAGAAACAAATGTGTATTGGTAGGGAAATGGTCTGGGCTGTCTGATTATTTTTTTTTTGTTATTTAGCTTATTTTTATTTTGTTATTTATTTTGTTATTTAGGGGATTTTGTTATTTGCAGGGATATTGTGAGGTATTTCAGGTACACTCAATAATGAGAATACTTTGAAATTTAGAAGCGTGTCTGGGATCTTAACCTTCTTGGCCTGGGAGATGGGAGACCTGAATTCTGTTACCTACTTTCAAGGGTTTCCAAATCCTTATCTTCCCAACTCGTGTGTTATAACAGACAGTTGACTCTGGAATAGAAGAGGCATTTTCAGCTCTTTCTCTTGAAGCTTGTTACTGGACATAACATAATCTGAGTGACCACGATGTAGAAGGAAGAAAAAGGCTGACTGTAATTGAGGCATTGGGAATTTTTATGAGAGAGTCTGTTTCAAGAACATTAAGTGTTTCATTTGTCACTGGATATACATAATAATTCTTGTAGCAGGGACACCTGAGTTCTGGTTTCTATTTCTTCTAGTCGTGCTCACTTTTCTTCCCTCTGGTCCGAATTACAGCATTTAAACTGGGAAGAGTGGCAACAGGAGAGACAAAGAACATCCCCATATGAGTTAGGGCATTAACTGGTAATTAGAGCACTAACTTGGAAGGTAAGTTTATATCCTCTGAGGCACAGGAAGGAATTGAACCTACAACTTCTCAGTTTAGGGAAATGTATTCACCATTTGGCAACTACAGGTAAGGGAAGGCAGTAAGTAACAGTGGAGGCAATAGCAGCACTTCTTCCCCCTCTTCTTTTGGAGAAGACAAGAAAGGAAGAGCAACCATTTGTTCTATGGAAAACCCATTCTGTGCTGTCAGGGCGTGCCTGTATATTGTCTGTTGACAGAGGAAATGTTAGTTTTGTAAATCAGTTGCAAAGCTTAAACGGGAGGTAGGTAGATAACCTTGTGTTCAGCTTGTGCAAGACTGAAATGCTTCTGGGGATGCACAGAAACGCAGCTTTAGAGAACTTTGCCAGTGAGAATTTGGATGCTTCAGTGGTTCGAAAGGCACCAGGACGATTCTTGGACCTAGTGCCTGAATTCCTCTGGAATGCTGTTTTGGACCCCCAGGGCAGTAGTTTGTAGCCTGGGATTGCAAACCTGATGAAAATCCCTTGAGAAATAAGGGCTGAAAACCAGAAGGGTGTTTGCAACCTTAAGGATGGCTCACCACAGAATTTTGGGAATACATTGGTGTATTTCCTTTGCAAATAAATTATATCTTCCTGGCAACAAGATAATTAATACTTCATATTGCAAAATTGTTCTGCATTTGCACTTAAGTCCTGTGTTTGAGTAAAATTGCATGCCAGGAAAATTACTTGTCCACAGCAACCTTTGATTTTTCTTTTTTGTTTCTCAGACATTCCTGACCCAAGCACTTGGAATCTTAATCCAGATGCATCTTATGTCTATTACTGTGCTAATGAGACTGTTCATGGTGTGGAGTTTGACTTTGTACCTGATGTCAAAGGAGCAGTCTTGGTTTGTGATATGTCATCAAACTTTCTGTCCAGACCTGTGGATGTTTCCAAGGTACAGTATTGGACACACTGGCTGCACAAAGCATTTTCAAACTCGAATGCATATAATTGGGAACTTTGAAATGTCTGGATGGCCAGAGATACTGAGCACTGAAGTGAAGGAAATCATATTTTGTTAATTGGTTATCTGGTGGTAGCTAAAAATGTTGAAATTTAAAGTTTGAGATTTCAGTGTCTGTCTGTTGTCCTTTTTTTCAGTAAAAACATATTGAACTATGTTGAAATTGTTCATGTTAGTAGCTGTCCAAGATTATTTGTCTACTGTGTATCTTCACTGATGGTGTAGCTGAAAAAGGCATCTTCTGAATCATATTTAGTCTGTAGATAGTGTGTATGGCTATAGCACGGTATTGGGAATCAGAATTTTTGATCCTGCCTCTTACTTAAAAAATCTGTAACCCTTTTTAAACTACTAAACCTTCCTGTGCCTCAGTCACTGTATCTCTGTTACAGATAGTACAGAGGCAGAACATAGTACTCGCTTAGGTTTGAAAGTGTGTAATGAGCGGGAAGTGTTAGTGACTAGTGAAGTAGCATGTTTCACCTTCTGATCTGTGTGTAGCAAAGAGGGGCAATTGTTAGTGCATTCATGTTGGCCTTTCTTGATCTACCTCTTTGAACAGGTGGATTATATGTTGCATGTTCTGAAACACCAGATTGGTTGAAAATACTGTGATCTATGTGTGAATTTATTTTTAGTAAATTTGCTTGGAGTAGTGTGAAATTGGGACAGGCTGCCTGAGAATTATTTGTGGTTACTAAATAAACATTTAGCAAACCATTGGGAAATTTGTTGTGATGATCTTCCTCAAATGAATAAAGATACATGGTTCTGATAACTGACGTACAGGGGCTAACAACTTTAGCACTTTGAAATCAGAACTTCCCCTGACTCTTCTTTGGCCTACAAGTTGCTCATTTTCAACACATTCTCCAAACTGTTCAGCAGAGTTATTTGGCTGTTGTATAATGATACTTGTGTATTACTCATTTATAAGATCTACTAGTGAATGCATGTAGCAAGTCCTTCTTTTTCTCTTCCTGTTAGTTTGGCGTGATTTTTGCTGGTGCTCAGAAGAATGTTGGCTGTGCTGGAGTTACTGTTGTCATAGTACGTGAGGACTTGCTGGGATTTGCATTGAAAGAATGCCCTGTAGTACTGGATTACAAAACACAAGCAATGAATGGCTCTCTGTATAACACTCCACCATGCTACAGGTAACTTGCCCTGCTATTTAATATCTTATTTAGAAAGCTACTGCACTGCCATCTGCTGCTCTTATCGAGAAAAGTTTCAGAAGTTGAGTATTTGCCTTCCAGTCACTGGTACGTTGAAGAGTCTGACATGATTCCTGTCAAAACATGGGAAGTGTCCAGCCATATGACTGTAGTAGGCTTTGAGGTTGCCTAGTGGGACTCGGCCATAAAGGACGTGGTACTTTTCGAAGTAAATATTGTGTATATAATTCCATTGTAGAAGTTTCAGGATCCAATTCTGACTTACAAGAATACAAGTCTAGTCAATTTAGTGGTGATGCTTCTATAATTTCAAGTAGATAATTTGACACTTAGTCTTGCTTCTTGAACACACGGTGGAGATTTAATTTAATTTCTTCCTGAAGCTGTTCTCAGCATTGGAACCTCCAGATCCCTATTGATTTTCTTTGCTGGAAAAAAGTAAATATTATTTTTATTAAAGGTTTTAATAATATAAAATATTGCAACACTATTATTTTTTTAATAATCATTCACTACTGTCGATTTCGAAATGAAACTGCACAGGAATTTTTTTAAAAGCATTTTAGTCATTGATTTGCTTTATTCTCTAGCACAAGTTTCCATGTTTCCTTGACTACTGCCTCAGTGTTTGATTTAGCATCCAAAGATAAAATTGGTCTAGTTTCATAATCATTGCTAGCAATCAAGATCGTAAAATTGGCATGTACCTGGTGATTTCATGTATGCAAGAAGCAGAACAGACTATAGCTTGCTCTTTTAAAATTACTATCTCCTAGCTTCTGATAGCTAGCAAAATGATGCTTTGCTACTGGAATATTTAGGTGCTGAGCCAGTAGTATCTACCCATTTTTAATCTGGAGCATTTTTATACCAATGTCCACTAAAATGATTATTTCAAAAAAGAAAATCTTCAAACTAGGTATCCTTTTTTCCTCAGAAGTTTTTAAATTAATTTGAAAAAATAATTTCTACTTTTAAAGAAAAGATCTCCTTTTTATTCAGATAATTTGGTAATGCAACCTTATATTGATGTTTAACCTCAGCTCCTACAGCTTTTTCGTTCATGCCAGAATTTGCAAAGTTAAGTTGCCTAATGATGTCCAACAGATATTAAATGCATTGTATATGTATAAAGTACAGCAATTCTTGTGTATAGAGCCTACCTTAATGCCATTGCTTACTTAAATTCAGTAGAATTTTAAGTGATACTAATTGATTCTCTGATTCTGCTGATTCTCACTATAGAGTGTACTATTGCGACGACATAGAGGCAGTTATCTCAATTTATCGAAAGAGCAGTAAATCTTGTGAGCATATGTTTATTCCAGATTTTACAATGCACAACTTGTTTTCCCAATGACTATGTGTACTGTAGAGTGTGTAGTGCTGTAATGATGTCCTCTTGCTATCAGCCTGACTGCCCTGTCGGCTGGGTACACCCGGTATCCTTAGAGCTGCTGTTAAGACAAGAATCAACCTTACAATGTTTCCAGATTATTGTCTTCTTTCTGAAAGTAGCTTTGTAACGTGGACAGTATGTGTGTCTTCTTTCCCAATGATTGATAAAGCCTCTATTTTGTGATTTATTATTTTCCCGACTGCCAAGTCACACATACTGTTTTGGACACTGTGTACTTGCACATGCCAGGTTTAAAATCCAGCCATTCATGTTTTCCAAGTACAAAGCTATTTCCATTTGAAAAACCAAAGTTCTACTTAATCTCAGCACTTGAACACAGTGTTACTCCTCCGGTCTGAAAAACAAAACAAATTAAATTCTGCAGCTTTATTTTAGCCACTGCGAAGAACTCAGTATCTGTCAGTAATATTAACAGGGTAGTGGGAGATTAAGGGAGCTGAAAATTAAGTTGAACTGACAGTATTTCTCCTTTCTGATCACTGTCTTGCCAGATTTCGCTTCATGCTACAGACCCAGATTGGAGTACACTCCAGAATCCAGAATGTAACACAGACTGAAATGTTGGCAGGGTGCACATCTGTTTGGCTTGGCTCTAAATGCCTGTTCTAGTTTTTGTAAGGAACTGGCAAGCTTCTTAGTTCTGTTTCTCTGCTCTCTTCCTTGCACTCTCTAGTGGTTTGCTGGCAAACACGCAGGAAATATTAACTGAATTTGCAAAAGCTACTTCAGCAGAAAGGATGTTAAATTAAATTAAGGTGACGCTAATGGCTTTAACCTCTTCGCGCTACAGAGCTTGACTCTTTGACCCTAATCTGCTTTGCTAAAGTTAACAATGAATTTGCTATAAAAATCTCATTTCCAAGCTCCAGAATGCATTTTGCATTTAAAATTGTTCCAGAAACGTTATTTTGAACGACATGAAAGGATAAAAGATTTCAGCTGGCTGGGTTTTGTGGATGACTCTATAGCTGACTTCTTTAAACTTTACTTGTCGAAGAAGTTTCACTCAATGAAGTGAGGGCAAGAGGTGAATGTGGCCGTGTATATTTGGCAAGGACACAGGCTATGCTTCGCTTAAATCTTTTACACTGGGGTAGTTGACAGCGTGCTGTCATAAATGTGGCAAGATTGTGCTCTCAAATCTATAAGGTGCTTTGTATAAAAGGCAGTCTGTAACCTCAGTTATTCTGCAGTCTTTCTGCAGTGTTCAAAGATTTGATGCTGGCATCTCCTGAGAAATTAAAAGTAGCAAAGTTTAAAACAGCCTCCTGCTATATTTGTGTTAGGGAAACTTGTAGGGTAATGTTCTTTGAGTACTCCCTTGGAATCTGTAATGAAGGGATTAATAAAAGCAAACTTGTTGGAAATACGCCATAAAAATTTGTGAACAGTTTTTTCTCTAAAGTGTTGTAGTCATGGGAAATGCCTGAACTTGAACAAGCTGAGTTTTGTAGCAAAAGCACAAAGCCAAAGGGCCTCAGGGTATTTTTATGTTGCACTTAGTAACTAGCATTGAATTACTTGGTCCCAAGCCACATGGTGCCAGTAGGCTTCCAGATCTCTACTTAGAACTTGAATGGTAATGAATAATTAAGTGATACATCATTATTTGTTTCTCCAAACTTCACTGTTCATGTGGCAAAAGGTCTTTTTAGACAGAAATGGAGATTATAGTTTTTATTTTTAACACTTGTGAAAATGTGATTAGATTTCTGGCATTATTAACGTATATACGATCAAGATTCACCCCTGTATCTTTGCTAGAGCAGCTGCACAGGGTGGATAATACTAACTTTTGTGCTAATTCTGGCTTTTTCCAGGACTTGACAGGCAATTGTGTGGTCAATGAACTGGCAATCCATGCAGCATGTCTGGGGATGTCATTGGGGGCCCTGCAGGGCTGCAGGAAACCTGCAGCACTTGTTCTGTGGTACAAAAGATTAAATTTGGTCCAATAGATTTGTGTAGCATGTGAATTTCAGGGTACTGCATCTGTGTCCGAAAAATGTTGCTTGCTTAGAATTGTCATAATTTGTAAAATAGTCCAGTTTCAGAGTTGTTAATCTTAAGCACCCTAAAACCAAATATGACCTTTTGTGAAGTATTAAACAGGACTTATTTTTCCTGTTTTTTATTTTTTTAAAGTATCTGACTGAAAAATGTTCTTTCCTCTTGCAGTATTTATATCATGGGATTGGTACTGGAATGGATAAAGAATAACGGTGGAGCTGCAGCTATGGATAAACTTAGTTTAATCAAATCACAAATGATTTATGATATTATAGACAAATCTAATGGATTCTATGTGTAAGTTGCTATGCTTTTCCTCTTGATTTCAATATTTGTTGTGGAGCCAAACATATTCATAACTTTTAAGAGTCTGATTGCAGCATATTTTTAAAGCTACCTTTTCAGTATATAGAAATTTTGAGGAATCCTACAGGAATTAGTGTGCAAACCATTCGCTTGATAAGTATCCAAGGAGGAATCTCATTCCAGTAGGAAGTTATTTAGAATTATCCTGTATAGATCAGTTGTGAAGCATATTAATAACGTATGTTCTAAACTTAATAAAATGCAGGAACCTAGGAGAAGAGTATGAAAAGACCAGATATGCAGACTCTGATTTGCATGCTTAATGAATCTCTTGGGGAAACATATCAAAACAGAGAAAGTGGCATGTAAGAAATGGTAGACACCACTTTTGCTTCATATTCTTCCTACCGTCTTTCAGTAATCAACGACTCTGCTTTTTCTCTGTCAAGCAGAACATTTTTATTAGCTAATATGTTCTGAAACACTGAAATAGAAAGAGGAAGATCAGGCCTAGATGTAGTCAAAATGTAGTAAGTTTTCTTTATGTACAGTTTATTTTTTTCAGTTATTTTTGATGGTTCTCCAAAGTGGATTTAACCCTCTGATTTTTACATATTGTTGCACTGTATTTTTGAGCTCACAGGACCCAAAATATGTATAGTTAAAAGCTGATGTGGTGATTCAGAATAATTCTAATACTTGCCAAGCTCAAAAACTAGTAATTGACTATGAAACTTCAGAATATTTCCGTTCACCTTCAGTATAAAATCAGCAGTTTTGGGACCTAATTAACTTTCAAGTTGAAGTTAGGATAGGGCAAATTAATTTGGATTTTTAAATTAAAGCTGTCTGCAACCTTAATTGGCAGGGATATAGTTTCATCATAATATTTAATACATCCTGCATGTCCATTTAGTTGATGAGAACAGCTTTGCCTTTAGCATTGTCATGATCAGGATTTTGATCCTACTCTACTGAAATCCTCAGGGTTTTTCATAAACCTCAGTGAGCAAATGAAGCCTTAAAAAGACATTTTGTAACAAATAGGAATCTGTTTCAGGTACGCTGGTCTGTAAGGCTTTGAGTGGGAGATGCAATGCAGATGGGATGGTAAATAGTTAGTTGGAAAGGCAAAGCAAGCTTCGCTAACTGAGCTGTGTGCATCTTACTAAGCAATACAGAGTAAGACTGTTTTTTTTTTAATTGTATCTGTGACTAAAAGGAAGACCTATCTGAAGCTGCCTTCCCACCTGTAATGTGTCACCTAATCTGTGGCATGCTTTACTGGGTAAGCAGTGTGACAAGCCACTTAGTGAGTGGACACTTTCTTCCACAAATTGCTGTGTGCCATTTGCAGTTTGCTTTCCAAAGCACTATCTGAGTTACATTGGTTTGCCTAATAGCAACTGGGTCTTCTAAAAACTATAGCGTAGCTACAGTTAGCAAATATGGGAATGCTTACAAGCATAGGCCTTTTTGAAGAGTGTTTTCCTGCTTGCATCTGAAGTAGAAAATTTGCATAGGCAGGTATTATGATTGATCTTTTTTCTCTTCATAATGGAGACAGATGTACAAAGGAACAAAGGAGGAACTAAAAAAGAATGATACCCATTCTTTGTCAAATAAAATAATAATAGGTATGAAATTTGTATGCAGTTATGAGAACTTATTCCTAATGAATACATGCAAGAATCTACATCTCAATTTTAGGAAAGAATAAATGTGGAGGCTTCATATCTCCTTTGTAACTAGGAGCACTAATGAAAAATATTTAAATCTCCCCCTCCGTTCTTACCTTCACAAAATAACGGAAGAGAAATTTTTCTTTAAATATATCTTTAATTTTCTACTTTACTGTAAAGGGAATTTTAAGAGATTAAAGAGCTGTGATGCACCTCATTTTGTGGCCATGTATGCAATGCAGGATTTAGTCTAGAGATGACTCTTCTCTACTTGAGATTTTCGTGATGCTGAATAATGTTCATGATTCTGAATACTACTGATGTAGAAAGTGGACTGAAACCACTAACAGAAGTCTCTAATGTCCATGGAAATTGCCTTATGCTATGTTCTTATACTTCCTTTAGCTCTGTTTAACTGAGTCAGGCTCAATTCTGGTAGTGCTTGTGACTAGCTGAGTAAAAATTGGTGCGTCAGTCTTTGAAGATAAAGAAACTGCTTGAGACTTAGTCAAAATTCACTGTAACTAACCTCACTTACTGTAGGGGATATAACTGAGACTGTTGTGGGTGGGGTGGTGGTTATGTTTGGGGTTTTTTTTTTAAATCAGGTGTGTCTACAAGCTTCCTGTGCATTTCTCTGGGGCAATTGAGTATGTTGGGAAGGGTTAATAAGCCTTCCACATACTCTTTCCATTATTATACTTGGTTAAAAAAAGGAAGGTTGCTTTCTTTCAGAGAGTAATGACCTTTTCAATTATAGAGGAGTTACTTTGGTGCTAAACAGATGCAATTATTCACTTTCTTAAACTGTATAGAGCTGAAAATGTAAACAAATGGGTTAATCATTACATTCTGCCACTTTTCTAGATGTCCAGTGGAGAAAAAGAACCGGAGCAGAATGAATGTCCCTTTCCGTATTGGCAGTATCAAGGGTGATGAAGCACTGGAAAAGAAATTTCTTGAGAAAGCTGTGGAACTTAACATGATATCTCTAAAAGGACATCGGTAAGTATTGGTCAGATGAATCCCTCTCCTGTGCAGAATAAACTGTTACTGCAGCGATACAGCAGCAAGCATTGTGCATTGACTTCCCAGCCTTTCTCACTCACAAGCTGTTCCTCATATTGGTTTGGCATCACTTGGGAATAGCCGTCTAGAGAGTGTAATCAGAGACTGCTGATGGCTCAACTACTGCTTAGGTGGGCTGAGAGAGCTTTCTCCTTAATTCTGCTTTCTTCTCCAATTTGATAAATCTGGTTCTGTGCAACTGCCAAAGAAGGTCCCTCTTGAGGTCAGCTCCTGTCATTGTATAAAGCCTTTCATTACATGGCTTGTCTACCTAGTTGCAAGAGTCCCTTTCCATGTTCAGTGGTGTTTGTGGGATTAAAAAAGTTAACTTTTGTTGTCACAGAGCTACAGAGTTAGAGATACAAATGACTCAGTATTTATTAGTTTCTCTAGATTGCAAGTTGCCTTGAAGAATGAAATACTGCTTCTCATTCACAGAAAATGTGAATTTTATCCCCTTGGAGTAGGGGTAGGTTTAAATGTCTGTGAATGTTATTAATGTCTTTTTTAGAATACACAAACTTTCTATTTTTTTTTCCTCCCCTCCTCTTTTCAATTCAGATCTGTGGGAGGAATCCGCGCCTCTTTGTATAATGCGGTGACTGTAGAAGATGTTCAGAAGCTTGCAACGTTCATGAGAAGCTTCATGCAGATGCATCAGTCATAAATGCCTGTGGGTTAGAGCCACGCTGCACATCTATAAAAAAAAGCTAAAGAGTTTGAAAGTTACTGTGGTACTGCACAGCTGTAGCGCACAAGTTATATTTTCTTTTAGTTCCTGTAGCTATTTTACTTAACTGCATGGGATTGAGGCCCAATCTTGCAATGACTTGGCAGCCTTGGTTTCACTGAAGGTGAGGATCCCCAGACTGATCAAGATTGGCTTCAAAATTTGCAAAACAGTATTCTTAATGTACAGTTAAAACATGAGTAGCATTTAAGATACTATGGATCTGAGTCTGTTTCTTTCTTCAAGTCACAGATGATTTCTTCAGCAATGCCTTGTTTTCAGTAAACTTCAGGAAGCAAAATCTGTCATTAGCTTTCTGTAATGCTTTGCAGATACTCTGTGACTGCACAGCAAAGCTAGAGCTAATATTAAGTGTTCTATAAGGGTATCTAGTTGGTTTATCAGATATATTCCAACAATGTACCACGAGCAGTATTTAGGAGTTAATATCCATGTTCCTAGCTTGAGGATCTTGCCTTCAGATTTCTGCTTGAAGTACTATCACAACAGTTCCTTGTAGCAATAACCATTATGATTAAAGACTGTAGGATTAGACCTTTTTTCATATTACCATTTATTGTTTTAAAGCTAAGATGCATGAATCTATAATTAAATCAATTTATGAGATGTTTATTTCTCTATGCATTTTGTATATTAAACTTCTCTAGGTTATTAATTTTATATTCTTATTTTGGAGTGTGAGTATTTGCTCCTCCCAAAAACTTGTTTTTAATTTGTTAACTTTGTGCCAAACTGGATTGCTGTATTCCACTCAATGGATCTGTGACTTTCTCTGCTCTGACTTCCTAGCCCAAAGTGCAGCAGACTTTCTTGTCTGGTGCTTCTTAAATGTTTTCCCTAATTGCACCAGTATTTTCTCTGCCTTTTCATTGCTTTAGTTCTGTAGCCTTTTGCATATGAGGCTTTGCCCAGCGGCGGTAAATACAAGCCTTGACTTCTCTGCCTTTTTCTGGTGCTACATCACACTTTTGGTCCAACTTTCTCACTTGATTCTTCTGGCTTATTCCAGACTTCGATACTCTGGGCTAGACAAGGAACAGTGGTTATGGAAAGATCTTCAGAAGATCTTCTATTATAGTACCCTTGAGTTACTTTTCCTTCTCAGCTTGTGAATTTGCTGCCAATGACCATTGACACTAGCCTCCTATTTTAACTTATGTAGAAGCTGTCTGCTAGTATTGTAGTGTTTAACATCGCTGCAGCTTGTTTCAGACTGTAAATCTTTGGTACAGGATTGGGATTTTTTGATTTTTATGTAACACCAGTACAGTGGTAACAATTTGATAATGATGGACTGTCCCTTTCTTGGTGGAACCTCACAGCAACTCAGTGGAGTTGTACTAGGGATGAGTTACAGTCCTATCTTAAAAACCATCATTTTATGACTGTTTTGAGACTTTTGTCAACTTAGTGTAACTCAAAGTAATTAAACAAATCCAGTGAAGGAAATAAAACTTAAGCACAGCATGCTGTGAAGTACCAGTGTGTCTGAAGCTTTTGTTTTTGTCACTTTCAGAAGGTTGAGAAGTCATGCATAATGTGTGTAGAATTTTAGATTCCAGTATCATCCTTTTCCCTAAAAAGCAAATTTCCCTCATTTATGTTTTACTTCTTTCTGAAAATAGTCCTTCCTACAACTAGCATGGAAACAAGAGTATTACTATGAGAAGGCTTTGAGAACCCTTTTTGCCCTGCCAATTATGAAGATCTAATTCAGGTTCCGTATTAAGCTTTTTAACTTTGTAAAATTCTGCTTTCTTTGAACTTTGTGTACTTGTTTTCAACAGTAGCTGTGGCTTATATCTCTTTCCAAAAGTTAGTAAACGTTTCTATTTTATAATAGCCTTGCATTCCTCTTAGCAGGTACGCTTTCATGTGTTATTACAAGAAAGCTTACACTGCTGTGTGCAGTTGATTCACGAACCTAACAGGGAACCTTTTTGCTGCTTCTGAATTGTGCTTAGTCTTTTGTCAAAGACTTTTTTTTTTTTTTTTTACCCAGAAAGGCAAAAATCATGTGAAAGCAAAATGCAGAGTGAAGACTACATTAGCAGGCAGTGATTGACTGAATATCATGTGAGGGCGATGCAGGAATGCTGGGA